AGTGCAAATGTTTGATTCCACTTATTAAGATTTTAGAAAATGAAAATCCTCTCCATTGCAGCAGCTGTGCGAAGACGTTAGATTCTGCTTAGAGATAGGAAGGGTAGTCTCAACAGGGGTTGGGAAGAGAGGGCACAAGTAAAAATACTAAGGATGGAGGTGCTCAGTATTTAGATGGTGATTAATTCAGATGTTAAAATTCATTAAATTACACTTGTACAGTTTCTGTATGACATTTATACCTTAAAAATGTTATCTCAAATAAAATAGGATGGCTGAAAGTTAATGTCATTTCAGCAGAAAACAGCTAATAGGGAAAAAAAAATGGATCAGCATTATATAATAAAAATTACACCATTATGAACAAATTTTGACTTGTAAGAGCCCATGGAAAAAGTAGAGGAAATAGCAAAAGAAATGGTACACACACACACAAAAATGCTTACAGCTGAGATATGGAATTTTGGGCTCAGAGGTTCACCTAGGATTAAACACCATAGTTAAAATAACAAAAAACCTCACACCAAATGTAGTTTTTGAAGTAGCCGAAAGACATCCAGTAAGTCTCTTTCAAACAGGGCAGCTGGACAGGGTGCAGAGTGGGGACTTGAGTCATGTATGAGTAAATAACATTATCTGACACCAAACGTGTCATCAGCATCATCAGTTGATAAAATACAATGGCATGATGATGAAAGTTCTAGAGCAGTTACTTCTCAATCCACAAGTCAATAATTAGCTAACTACACATTAAATCCAAAAAGTCAAGGAAAAAAATTAACTGTGCAAAGTCCCAGGAAACTTGTGTCACTTAAATCCTTCCTGTGGTATTATCTGAGGATGAACTGAAGCTAGCAAAATAAAATTAGGAAGGGGAAAGACAAGGATGCTGTATGTATATATTCCAGTGGGTTAAAATCAGGATTACAGTTTTGAAGCAAGTCCAAAAAAAAAAAAATATGTAATCTCTTGACTTGTACAGGAAGAAAAATGAAAAAAGATTTTTAGCCATGAATTTCATGTTCGAAGGGGTGAATAACATCAGTAATTTGGTCAAGTAAGTACATCATTTTTTCCTCACTAAGAAAAATAAACCAAATTAATAATTCCAGAATATTTGTGCAGGCTAGGGAAGAATTCAACCCAGCCCAGTCTTAATATAAAAGCTATGTGGCTTGGATTATCTGAAGGAATGCAAGAAGCAGCAATTCATTTGACTTGGACCTTGGGACATTCTTAAAATAGCCTAAGTTGGAGACACTAGACATTCAACGATGGTAAAGGAACTCAAGCCAACTGTTCACAGTTTTATTTGGAGGAATATTTATAGAATCTTTAAAACTTCAGAATGCTAAAGTGTTTTTTCAACCATTGTAATTAATTTTTTAGGTAAAGTCCTCAAGGCTCAATTACAGTTGGAGATGAATGTAAAATCTCTGAATCATGATAATGCAATTAAAAGCCGATGAGTTATACCTTCTGCTATGCTCTCTCAACTGATATCACTTTTCAGGTAGGAAAACAACTGTTTTTGTTTTGTTTTAAGTTATTCTAATGGTTATACATCCAAACAAAATAAACCCTAAAACCTGAGCCATACATATATAGTACAGTTAAATAATATGACTTGTCCATTAAGTTTCCAACTCTTAGAAATAGTCTATAAACACAATCCTATGATGAAATACAGTTTTATGTATCCTGGCAATGTCAGGGTTTGGATCCTTGATAGTGTAAAATCATGTAATAGCTAACCAATGTCGGGAGGTGGAAAAGGAGGACAAAAGCTCATGGAAGGCCAAGGGTGTTCTTTAAGAAATAAGTTAAGAGCTAACTGCAGAAACTTCATGAAATAAGAATGCAGATTTAAGGTGTAAAACATTTATTTACAGTTCTCTGGGCCCCAGGGCCACTGATTTAATTCCTTCTTAGTTTCAAGATGCACTCACCCACTCCTGCACCAACATTCACCAGGCAGCTTGCCACTTCAGTGAATTGCATTTTATCTGCAGTCAGCCTCTCCATTGCTTGCCTAATGATTCTCGCTGGGACATGTTTATACAAAAGGCCAAGGCATTGGGATGTTTCCCTGTCATTCTAGGAGGACCTCAATAGCCATTTCTGGTTTAGACCCACACAGGGCTAACTGTCCACCCTTGGAAATATTATCAGATTTCAGAGTCGTGTCCAAAGAGTGGTGTCTGAATCCAAAGCAGGTTTGACAGCTGCTACTTTTGAGAAGTCCATGAAAGGGAAGTTACAGTGACACCTGTGGTGTGGTTGGTGGCAGATGTGGAACAAGGGCTCGATTAGAGAAGTGGCAGAGGCTCTATGAGTATACCAGATCCCATATCCAGTGAGGCTCCCTTAGCTGCTCAAAAGGAAGACGAAATACACTCTTGATGAAGACCTTTTAAAATTATATTCAAATTTGAAAACCCTTTCTTCTACAGTCATTGGTCATTTTCCACTTGTTATCCAGGAGAGTTGGTGCTTGAGCCTGGTGAAGCCGACGTATATTATTCGAGCTCCAGACAATCAGTATGGCCTATATCCAAGTCAGGGTCCCAAAGTAAAACTGCAGTGTGAAAAAACTGCCCATATGATGGGGAAGAAGAACTTGAACATAATACACGAAGAAATGACTGAAAACATTGTGTAATTTCCCTTAGAGTATGTAAATCTGGAGGTGAACCTATTTTCATGTACTACCTGGCTGAAGGCATTTGATTACATACGACCACCCCATGGAGTGTTGCTTTTCAGGTGTCTGAGTGAGTCAAAAGTCTCTTTCAGAACATGTAAACCTAACACTCAGTAAAAGGCTCATCCGGATTTAGATGTATGAGTCCGTTCATAACTAATTCACTCATTCATTCACTCAAAGACATCATTATTTTTTTTTTTGCTGGGCAGAAAACAAGGGAAATTCATTTGTATTATTAAAGAACCAAAGACAGCATGACAAACATTTGCCACCATACTTAGACCACCACTTGGGCTCCTCTATACACTCCAGAGGGACTGGTTTGAGTCCCAGGATTGTTTCTAATTCCAAATTTCTGGTAATGTGTATTTTAGAAAGCTGCAAGTAACAGTTTGAGTAACTGGGTACCTGGTACTGACATGAGAGATCCAGATTGAATTCTGGGTTTTCCAACTTTGGGCTGGGCTAATCCCGGCTCTAGTGGACATTTTGTTAGTGAAACAGTGGATGAAACATCTCCACCTCTATGGTTTGCTGCCTTTTAAATGCATAAAAGCAATGCTTGCAATGAAAGAATCTTGACGGAATTTGAACTGTAATACTGCAACAAGGTGCAGGAATCCACCATGAGGGGAAGAGTACGGGCAGGGGTTGGGGGAATCCCAGAGCCTATGAAACTGTGTCAGATAATGCAATGTAATTTAATAAAAAAAAATAGATGCATGAAAGCTAATAAGTGTGGTTTTATTTTTTTCATAAAAGGAATATGGATAAGGATAATTTACCACATTTACCAGTTAATTTTTGTAGGTGGGATCCCTAGCCATTAATATAAAAGCATTCCTTTCTTATAACACTTAAGACAGGGATGTTACTTGTCTAATGTGTCTGTTGTCCTTTTTTGTTCAAACAGCAATTTCTCAACGTTAGATATATACTAAAATTGGCCTTTCATAGGGCAATATGGCTTATTTATTTTTTAACTTTAGAGTAACCTGAATGGGCATATGCAGCTAAAAAGAACTGGGATGAAACCACCACATCATTTCAGTAATAGACAACCAAGGGAGAAAAAAATCAGTCTTCACATTTAAGTCAGTTAGTCCTTTTTTAATAAATTTGAAGTCATTCATCAACAAGTTTCATATTTGATCTATCACTCAATTTTGCTGTTTTTTCATGTCAAATAATACCAAAAAATTACATCAATGTGCTTAAGCAAAACCGGGTTTAAATTTATCTTTACAATGAAAGGAAATCAACATGGGAATTGATTAAGACAGCAATCACCTACTCCTACTAGAACAGTCCTGTACTTACCTTTAACGTACTCAATGACTTGGGAAGTAGAAAAATGAGACAAGACAGAACGTGTTCATGGGGCTATCCCTGGAGAGAGGCATGGTGTGTGAGCCAGTCTCTGGGAGTTTGCTCTTTACCCAGGTGTTGGGAATTTAGTATTTCAGGAAAACATGGCACCTTTCAATGCAGTAGAAGAGGTAATCAATCCAAGGCACACTAGCCAGTGTCCTGGGAAAACTGAATCCACCTGGGCAGCTCCTTGCCCCAAGATTCAATGGTACTTGGACCGATGGCTCACGCTAAGAAGAAAACCAGAATCAAGTCCAAGAGCAACAAAATATTTCACCAATTATTCAGCTTTACTTACATAAAGTGGCCAGAATCACCAACTGGTTTTCTGGTATGGAGTCTAAAGTTAAGATTTATGGACCAGTTTATACTTTCAAGCCAGGAGATTCAAAGTCGGACACATTCTCCTTTTGGAACACACCACTAAGGGACAAACACCAATGGTTTTTCTACTAGTTGTTGAAATGGACATCTACAACTGCAGTGTGTGTGTTCTCTTAAAACCAGTCCCGTACTTTTTTGGGATCACCTCTGAGATGATCTTAGTGATATGTCAATTCCATGTTTAGATAGGAGAGAAGTGCCTTTGATGCGAGTCACTGAACATGGCAAAGTTCTGGGCGCTGGCATTAAAAACACATGATATTGCAGATGTGCACATAACTTTTAAACCTAATGAGAATATTATAATGTACTTTCTACTTTATTTGAGATTCAGGGTATAAATGAATGGTATAGACAGTGGAACCCCTCTGCAATCCTGGGGTTGGTGAACAGGAATAACACTTCCTTCAGTCTTTTATGTAGTAGGGTTTTCGAATTGTCTCAAGCATATCTGAACCTCATGGGAGCACACCATCTTAGGAGTCTTCTGTGCATTGTGAGCCCCTGTGAAGCATTTCAGTAAGACAGGACTACTTAGAAAGTTAACTTTTTATTACTTTCAGTTGAGAAAGAAGTCACATTACATCTCCAACTAAACTTTTCTCTCCTTACTCATAAGGTCTGGATGCAGGTATCATTGTCAGAGATCTGGGTTCAGAATTCCTCAACCCGGCTCACTTACTGGCTCCAATAACCACTGTGGAGTAATGAGAGGTCATTTCAACAGGACGAAGGATAAAATTCAACTCTCTTCTGTCAGCATAGAGTTCTCTCCTTGTTACTTCTCACGATTTTAAAAATGGAGAAGCTATAAAATAATTTTATTTGAAGAAAAGTAACTTTCTTCTGAAATGGAGTAAAGCAAACACATACCCAAGGATCTTAAAAAGTTGTTTTTTTTTTACAGAATATGTGTATGTAACTGTGTGTGTATGTATGTGTAATTACAAACACTATTTATAGTATAGCTATTATGTTAACTTCATTGCAGTGTCTACAAAGTTGTGGATCCCAGTCTCGGTGCCAAATGCATATAAAAAGCTCAAAAGCTATTAGGACTATACCATGCAAATTTATATCCAGAAAAACTTGGGAAGTAGACTGCAGCTCTTCTGTGCCCCAGGGGAGGGGGGGTCTCTGCCTTTGATATTTGGGTACCTCAACTATGCATCAAAAAAGTTTTGAATCACATTTCTCCCAGGAAGAATTAATGTCACCGTTCTGAAAGTATAAATCATACACTTAAATCAACACTTGGAAGCTTTTGTCCATGTCATTTGCATTTTGGGGTCCTCCTTCTGCATGTGAAGCCCACACCTTGAATTACTGAATACAGAAAAAAGATACCTGAAGTATTGAAAGGGATAAGGTCTTTGCAAATGTCTTTTTTGTTCTTTAACGTGTTAACAATGATAAGGCCACTTACAAGGTTGTTTCCAATCTGTTAGGATCCCCCACTGTTACCTATGACAAAAATTGCCAGAGAAAAGCCAACAACCAACAAACCATTGACTAATCTCCAGAAAAAAAGCAAATTAAAACTAAGAGAGCAGAGATTGGGAGAAGACGTTGAATAAAGAGAGGAATGAAGGTGGGGAAGGGTATAAAGATTACAAAGTGCTTTCCGCATGAGAGTTTATGGATTGTGTTTTCTCTGATGGTGGGTTTGGAACTGTTGCAGAGGCCTGCAAATTAATGGTTGCTATGGCCACCAAAGAAAAATCAAGTAGTGGTCAGCTGCTGGCGATGGTCCCCACAGTAGACCCCTCAGGGAGGGTGGTGTTTCTATGTGGAGAACGGTCGGGCCAGAAACAGGAGTCTTGGACTACATTCCGCTCATTTTGTTTTGAACATAACAGAGAGGGTGAGGCATATGTGACATTTTGGGATAAATTATTAATTTAGCAATTCCTTCCTGTGTATTTTGCTTTTTAAAATTCTTTTTGTTTTTTCTCCAAATGCATAACTTCACTGTGACACCTGTTTGCACAACTGTAGTCATTTCAGTTTATGGATGCCTGTGATAGAAATATTGTTTACAAAAAATATATCATCTCTTTGTTTTCTTTAGAAAGATCTCGTCTAAATAGTAAGTTAAGGTTGCGTCTATGAAACCGGTGCACCTTGTCTTGTTTCTACGAGCTTTAAAAAGTCCAAATACTGATGAGGCTGTGGCTCAGAAGGAACCGTGTTTGTTGTCAGGTTGCCCTCTTTGCCTCCGAGAACGGTCATGGATTGTTGGGTGATACGTGCTGTGTACTGGTCGTGTTCCTGCAGAATCCTAGGCAGCCTAGGAGTCATTGGATGCGCTTATGAAATATGTCAGATACAGAAATAAAGGCATGTGGAATATCTTAGTTTTCAAACATGAGCATTAGAAGTGTTTCAGCTTCAGTCTTAATTTCTAGCTAACAGAAAGTAATTACATCACATAAAGAAAAATATGACATCGCATGCTGCCATGAGAGCAAGCATAAGAAACAAAATCCTGGTAAATATACAGATGTATGCAGATTATGCAAATATACCTTATATTAACATACAATGTTATAAGAATGGTTGACAACATAACTGCGGGGGAAGGGAGTGGGGGTTGCCCTAGATGGTTTTTCCTTAGAGTAACAAATAACCTGAGACATCTATGCTTTCTGTAAGTTGTCGGGCCTAAAGATCCATAAGCGACAGAGTGCACATTTTCAGTGATGGAAATGTGATTGCCAAAACGTGCCACTGTGTTCCCACATGATAGCTAAGCTGGATCCACTCCAGGCGAATGAGAAACACACAAATTCTGTATATTATAGTACTTACAGTGAGTTGCCATTCACTCCTGATGGGTTTTCAAAAACTAGACTCTCAGACAGCAACGTGGGATGTATCTATGTTTAAGAGAACAGGTGAGCGCACAGGCTGCGACTCACCGCATCGGCTACACCAGCACAGAAAAAGTACACATAATGAAAAACAAACCCAATCATCAGAAAAGCCCAAAAGTCTTTGTTTAGTAAACTGAAAGAGAGAATATGAACTGTATGACTCATTTTAAACTAGCAATTCCACTGCATGAGAGTCAAAAAGATGAACTAAGAAGTTCTTTCTGATTTTTGAACTAAAATGTCTAACATGATAATAAAAGACACATTTTGGGATGATATTGTGTTTTATGTCCTCATTCTCAAGGCATAATATTTAGATACTTGTCCCTTTCAATTAAGAAAAAAACTATGACTTTCTTTAGTATGCATCCTGTGTTAAATTGTCCATAGCTGCAAATGTATTTCTGTATGCATATGTGCATACACATAGGAGCTTACACCTCTGTGTATGAACACATACGCATACATCCTCATATACACGTGTATTTTATATATATGCTGAGAAAGTTCACATATATATACAATTGCGTATGTATATATGTGTGTGTGTGTGTGTGTCTGAGTGTCTGTGTGTGTGTGTACAGGTATAAAAACTTGACAGGCAGAGTAATATTTCACTCAGTGTTAAAGGAAGTCTTTCAAAAATCAAGTACAGTCACTCAGTTAACATAGTACAGCCAGTAAACTAAGTTGAAAAGAGAAAAAGTGAATGGAAATACGATCCTGGACCATCTGTCTATGGCATTCACATCGGTTAGATCAGGGATTTTAATTTTGAGCTGCGAAGACCTCCTCCGTAGATGGGTCTTCTTGTGTGGGATGCTTCTGTCCCCCATGTATCGCCCATGCCCTTCCCTAGGCATGCTCTGTTTCCTGTACTGGATTCCTGAGTTGTCAAAGGATATTGCTGAATTCCTGGTATCACTGCCTGCAACTTCGGTAATTTCGTTGTGAACCTCCAATGATGTTAACAGAATATTTCCATGAGCATCCACCTAATTGAAAAAAAGGTACATAATTAGACACGTAGGCTGCCAGTACACCCAATTTTATTTTTTTATTTTATTTGTTCATAATACGGTTCTACAGACTGAGAGATTCCCCTTCCACCTTCCCAACTGCCTGCCTTTCAAGCTGTTTCCCCACCTATTATTGCAATAGCATAGTCCGTCAACAGCAGTCACAAGTCCACATCTAATTTTCTTATGGGCACATAAATCAGGGAGAGAACAATATTATGTTATCCCGTGACACATTATGTGAAAAAAATGTGTAGTTGTCAAAGGTAACACCATGCTTTATTGGGAAATGTCAATTTGGAGACTCAACAGCAGTTTAGAGAATGAATTCATTTGATTTAAAATTTCTCACAAAGGCAATCGGAAAAAAATATGTGATACGGTGCTTGCATATTGAAATTTCACTTAATGGATACATGGCATTATTGAAGAAAAAACAGATTTTCATGATGTTAACTTAGAGGTATAAGCTTTGTCCACAAATATACACTGGATAGAAGCTGTAAGCAGCCGCTCCACACGTACCCACGAGTTCTCGATTTGCAGTACCGAATACCTGCAATCAAATGGCATCATCATGGTTCAACAATCCTCCTTCTGATATAGGTTCAGAAGAGAAATAGCAGCCCAACACTACATCACAACACCTCCGTCACTCACCTCTCTTCCTCTCATCACGTAGATGAGAGGTGAGTACAGTAGTCACTTAGCTTAAGGGAGAAACACCATATACACAGCTTTCCAATGACAGTGCATCATCTATGATAACTGCTCTATTTTATTATTAGCATTGTGATTAAGTTTGTGCTGTGCCCAATTCCCGAGTCAATCATGTTCATGTAGAGTAAGACGTAGTCTCTATGTGGTGCAGTACCCTCTGCGGTTTCAGGCATTTACCAGGGATCATGCAGCATAGAAGGGGAGGACTACTGCATTCTTTTCTATTCTTGGGAAGTCAGCTTGCCACCTCTTGTCATGATAAACACACACACATTTCCATGGAGAAATTAGTGGGTTGTTCTTTAACTGATGATACTCCTGATGGAGTCAGTGAAATAAATACAGATACGTCATTCAAGCAGGAGCTCCTCGTCCTTCAGAAGGACTTTGTTTCAAGGAATATGTATATAAAATAGGCGGAAATCCTGCCCCACAAAGGAGCTGAACATTAAAAATAACATTTTTCTCTATGTTAAACAGAGCTTCAGAACACCCATGGTGATGCCAGTGGCCCATGTTATGTTTGGTTGACCAAGGACCTTTCAGCATGAAGTTCTGAGGCTCAGAGTCTCTAGTGGGGTTCTTTGTAGGAAGAGTCTGAAGCTTCTCCTCCCTGAGCAGTATCGAACCCTGTCAAAATCTCTCAGGTCATTCCCTAGATTCCTGAGCACTGCTCCAGCATACCCTATACTCCTTTACCCGGAGGGCCATATGCTTTCTCCTCCTTTGTACATGGGAAGCCCAAACGTGCTTTTAGCACCGTTCTAAGCAGCTAGGGCTCTCTCAATGAGGCTTTCACAAAACTAATTATTTTGTAGATGAATAATTTATCAATTTATTAATTTGTGGCCTACCATTATCTATTTCCCTCCATTACTTTCTCTACAGGCATTATGCAAGATGAGCAGGGAATGAGATCAAAAGAATGGGCTCTCTTGATCAGGTTCTCTTGGTGGAGAAGAAGCAAGGTCTCATCTGGTACTGAGCGGGCCTGAGACCCTAGGTGAATGGCCTCTAGACATCAAAGTGGCTTGAGCACAGAGACAATGACCAACATCCCAGGACCACTTAGATGTGGCACAAAGAAGACCACATATTGAATTCTTTCCCTATACATATCTATGATAAAGTTTAGATTACAAAATAGGCACGATAAGATATTACAAGCAATGAACTTGACAGCTAAATGTTACAAAAATGTGCTTGCTCTCTCTCATCTCTCTCTCAACTTCCACAAAGCATGGGAGTATGGTTGTAAAGGAGGAAGGAGTGAAGCATGTTCTGCCCACGAGTGCAGGATAGGGTGGCATGGCATAAGATCCCATCATGCTGCTCAGAAAACAATGTAAAACTTTTGCGTCGCTGGGTCTCAAGTTTTCCATTGATACCCCAGTTGACTTAAGATAACCAATACTGTAGACAGCAAAATAGTAAATTAGGCAAGACTTCTGTAGAAAACTTACCCTATTAGAAGCAAATGTCAGAGAAACAAAAGCAGAACGTTTTAAAGCCGGAGAAAGACTAAAATCACTTTGCATGGAAGCAGAGAAAGCAAAGAGAAGGAAGAGAACAGTCAGTAGCAATAAAGATGGGCCCCAGCTATCGGTCTCCAAGGTTTCCTACAAACATGGGAAGCCACAGAAATGCTCTTCAAGGGGGTTCCCAGAAAATTCGCTTTATGACAAAATAGCGCATGAATTGCAAGACAAGTTTGCCACAAAATAAGAGTATTAATTCCACATTTCCACAAACTTTTTGAGGTACTCTCCCTTTTTGCCAGTCACTTGAACGAATCTGAAAGCACATTCGTTCCCACAGCCTTCAGAAAAGAGCATGGCCCTGCTAATACCTGCACTTCAGCCAATGAAACTCAAACAGAGAACCCCACTGAATCCCAGAGCATCGTACTTTGATCCTGTGTGACTGTGATGTAGAGATAGGTGTTGTTTCAAGCTGCTAAATTGTGCTGATTGCAAGAGGTAGGAAAGAAAAATGCATTTGCATCAGGCCTCAAGGAATGAAAGGAATATTTTTAGGCACAAAGAAGGAATAATGTCATAAGCACAGGTTCAATAAGTACCTAAGGCAACTTAAGGTAGGCAAACTAGCAGAGTGGGAAGCAAGTGCTTGCTGGAAGCAAGTTTCCTGTGATAGGCGGGTCAGTGCCATTCTTATTACCATCATTAATGTCTCTGTATGATCTCACCCAACAGGAATGTACACTACGTGATGAATGGAAGCGCAAACTTGTTTCAGGTCAGTTTATTACGTCGAAGAATTTAAAAGTTCATTCATTAAAGGAACTAGAAGTAAATGTAAGTTCTCAGTAGAAAACAGAAATAGTTCTGCAACATGGCCCAAGCTATGGTGTAGGAGGATAACTTACTAGATCTGTAGGAAAACAATTGATTAAAGAGGAGTCGCTGGGAAGTCTTGCCAGTGTGAAGCCATGACTAGTTACAATCCTGTCAGGAGGGCTCTGGGAGCAGTTGATACGGAAATGAACAGATCAAAAACTCCCTAATCCTCAGCTTCAGATAACAGGTCAAAGACAGGTGCTTCCTCTCTCAGGCAGGGGAACAGGATCTCACACACCAAGGAAAACCACCTGCTAGACTAATAAATTGTTTACTAGTAAACTCCCTTTAGCTCTTGCTATGTAAATTCCTCAAGCTCTCCTCCCTTATGCCTACATGACCCTCTGACTTTACAAAGTCTGAAGCTGTTAATAAACTTCGACTCTTGACCATCAGTCAGTAGTCCACATGTGTGATGATTGATTCCATGCACCAAGTCCATCACTGCTGGACAGTGAAAACTAAGGGATAAAAATCAAAAGCTAAATTTGAGAGGACAGTGAAGCCCCCAGCTGTGGTTACATTAACCTCACTGATTTCTGCTTTCTTTAGAAGAGAAATGTCCTGAATGAATAACTACTGCCCTCCCGCCACTGCAACAAATCCTAGCATTTCTTCTGAGCATCACCAGCACACTTTTTACATCCTCAGCAGCAGTCCCGGATCACCGCTTGATCAATACTCCATTTGTGAAGTTCAGAGGGAACACAGGGTGTGGAGACAGAGCTATATAGTGCTTGGTTCCTCTCCAGGGATCTAAGACAAGGATTGCTACACTCACCTTGCAGCAAGTACCTCGTCAGCCTGGGTGCTGCTCAGTTTTCCAACACCAAGTTACCTGTGAGTAAGTAAATGGAGAGAGTCCCTGTGGCACTCTTCATGGCAAGAACAGTCTCCTAGATGCTCCTAGATGACGGACAGGTTATGGACACTCAGAGGTGCAAACTGCACCCCACCACAAAAAAATAGAGGAGTGGGGAATTTTCTTTATTTTTACTCTAATGCAGTGGAGGGAAAGTCCTACTGGTGTTTGTGTCTTAAAAAAAAAAAAAAAAAACAGAAATGGGTATTGGTATAGTGGCCTAAAGGGCTACTCCTTTGCCTGCATCCCCTATAAGCACAGGTTTATGTCATGGCTGCTTCACTTCTGATCCAGCTCCCTGCTCATGGCCTGGAAAAGCAGTGGAGGGCGGACCTACATGGAAGACCAGGAAGAAGTTTCTGGCTTTGGACTGCCTCAGTTCCAGTCATTGTGGCCATTTTGGGAGCAAACCAACAGATGGAAAGCCCCCCTCTCTCTCTTTCTTTCTCTCTCTTTATCTTTCTCTCTGTGTAACTTTGTCTTTCAAATAAAAATAAAGTAAACCTTTAAAAAAATCAGGAATGGTAGATCATGAAAGGATTTTGGAACTTGTCATTTTTATCCCTGGCATGAATGATCTACAATAAAATTCTTCCAGTAACAATGTCTATTTGGCATCTTCAGACCCAGGGAAGTATCAAGTAATTTTAAAGAATAAATCTTTCAGTTTTCCAACAACATCTAGGAGGATACACCCAACAAAATATTTAATTATGTGGCAGAAACAGGAGACAAAAACAGGGTGGATCCCAGAGGACCAGGGTTAATCATGCGATTGTGGGTCTAATCTCAAAATACCGGTAACTCAAGCCTGCTTGGGATGCAGCAGGAAGGAAGGCCAAAGGACACAGCGAGCTGACCTTCACAGAAAGAAGAGTTACAAGAAAGATGTACAGGAGGCACCTTGTCATTCTACTCTTTCTTCTTCCAGTGCATTCTATCCTGCCTTACACCACAAAAGACTGAGCTGGTGGGCATGCCAACGTCTTGTCCTGAAGAAGGGGATGGGAAAGGAACGCAATCAGTGTGACCCTGTCAATGCCATTCGTTCAGTTTATTCAGTTCACTGAAGTGCATTTTGGAGATACTCCACTAGATTTCTGATTTGAAATCGTGAGACAAAACATATTTGGTAACTACTTAGAGAAACTAAGTTAAGGTCATCTGTCAAATAAGTATTACTATTGTTTTTCAAGCTAATCAGAATATCAGAAAACTGAACTTGCAGATAAGGTAGAAAAAAGTAGAAAATGCTATGTTGTTCTAGAAAGTTCTCTCTATCTCCCACATTGCCTTATTTTTGAAATTAAGATTCAGTTATTTATTTATTTAAAGGCAAAGTTAAAAAGAGATGGTGAGACACTGAGAGATGTCTTCCTTGGTTCACTCCCCAAAAGTCTGCAAGCGGCAGAACTGGGCTGCTCCAAAGCCAGGAGTCAGTAGCTCCATCCTGGTCTTCCACATTGGTACATAGACCTGAGCACTTGGATCATCTTCCACTGCTTATCCAAGTGCATCAATGGAGCTGGATGGGAAGTGAAGCAGGCAGAATTTGAACCTGCACCCATATTGGATGCTGGCACTGCCAACACTGGTTTAACCAGCTACATCACAGCACGAGACAAAACTGTGAAATGAAAAGCTCAAATATTCACTATGTAAGATAGAATGCTTCACCAGAGATGAGCACATGACCTAGAATCATCCAAGACTATTCCTGTAAGACATTATAATATACTTGACACACCATTGCCATGCCCTGAACCAGCTATAGTACTATAGAGATGAACTAAAAAAAAATTGGGGAGTCCTTTCCCAAGGATCCTAACATGAAAGAACATCTAGCAACTAATAAAAAATGATTTTTTAAAAGGCTGCAGGTGGCCCCTTAAATGTATTTTCAAATGCAATTGTTTTCTAGTTATCAAAAATAGCAAATGAAAGGGTTATGGTATCAAAATCCAGGGGACTCAAATTAACAGCTTTGGGGAATAAAATACCAAGGAAAGAATGACAAACTATGACAATCCTTGCAACTCACTTTCTCCTGGCTTTTCAAAGATAAAATTCATGGTACTCACCCTCCCAGTAGGAAAGTGAAAAAATATACAGATCTAGTGGGACCAAATGCATGAAAGATACCTCTTCTTCACAAGCGTGGGCTACACAAACATTTGCTGTATCATTCACAAGTGTGCATGTTTAGACAGGGGCGAGGGATCAGGTGTTCCTGGCTAGGGCAGACTTGCTCAACACATGGACGGTTAGGTGATTTGCCATTTTACAAGCATTGCATGCACACTGTGGAAGTTGGGAGAAGAGGGACAAACCAACTGTTTGCAGCAGGAACTGAGAAGGAAGAAGCAGACAAATGGTAGGGGAAAAGGGAAGAAAAGCTACTGAGGAACAGGTTTCAATTTTGAAAGCGCAAGTCATGGCCAAAAGAGGAAGGTATCTAGACACGGAGAACCGCGTAGTGGGAGGGATAATGTGTATGGTGAGATTAAGAACTGCACACGAAGAACAAGAAGCCATGAGAGGTGAGGCCAATAGACTACTGAGCTGATTTTTTCAAAATTCATATCCATATGAATCGATGCTCTGCCCTGCAGTCCCTTGATGTGATCAGTGCTGTGCGTCAGAGAACCGAGTACATGAAACTTGAAATCCAGGACTGTGCATCTGAAACCTGGTAAAGAAAAACCTACCTGGAAGAAAGTCCAAATGTGCTTCTCTACATTGTTAATAATTTATAAAATTAATCTGCCCCTGCGTGACTAGGACATTCATGATTTGGGGCATTTATAGCTGGGAGCTCTCTTAGGACAGCTTGAACTCAAAATCCAACACAATTTTACATCATTTTTCATGTCAGAGAAGATGAGCACAGACACTGGAAACAATATAAGTAAAGGAACTACAGAAACTTAATTATTTGTCCAATTAATAAGACCTTAGTGTAAAATTGCTTTTAACATTTAGACACAGTTTTCATGTAAACATAATATATAGAAAATTTATATCAATTAGAAAATTTATATCAACATTATTGAAATATTATTTTTTAAAGGGAGTAAAAGGTTATTAAAACCGATGATATCTTAGAAACCAAATATTTTCAGCAAATATATCCGAAAGAGAGGAAAATCTTTTATGACATCGAATTTAGATCTTAAAATAGAAAATGAATGAGTATGGGTGAAGTATGCTCTTTATAAGATGAAAGATGAATTGCAATTTCTAAATCTTTTCATGAACGCTCCTTATTATGAAGGGTTCATCTCATGTCTACTATAATTAGAATTACTGATCTCAATGTGGTTTGCTCCCTGCTCTATAACCTTGCCAGGTACAAACATTCAAAAATTAAAATCTCCTCACTTAAAAATACATCACAGATTGCCTCACAGTGGATATCTCATACTCCTTTCAGCTTCTAGTTAAGTAAAATATTCCAGTTTTAGAAAAATTAGAAAGGATTTGTCAAGAGAAGAATGAAATCTTACTCATTAGTTACAATGATGCTCAGTCTGCTCTGATTCCTTGGCAAGAATTATGAATTTCTGCCACTTCCGGAAATTATCATACCCATTCGTCAACTTGTAAAATGCCACCAGGCTGGTAATGCTAATGTCTGTATTGCAATCGAAGCCAAACTCTGGGCTATAGAAACTACTACGGAACAGATAGCATGCACAAATAAATGGAGGTTTAAGTTGACACTGTACATTTGGGAGAAAGAAATGAATCAACACTAAGTTTAAAATCTTATAAAGCACGAAATGGAATGAAAATGTATTCATGCCTTTCAGCAGCATCAATAAAGTCATTGCTGTGGGTGGCCTTCACTGCCACTGCCACGCCTTTCAGGACAAATGACAGTGGTCCCAGGAAAAAACAAAGATGAGGCACATCCCTGCAGGAAAGCCAACAGCCGTGAGCTTGGGCAAAACTGTGGCGGATTGCTGGCAATGATAAACAGTATGAGAAAACGAATGAGTGGATATTACAAGAACTGCTGGAGGTGCTGGCTGATGTATAATCTTGCAGTGCCATTTTTTTTTCTTGTGTAGAACATTTGTGATTCTTTTTCAGTTTTCTTTTAATGCACGTACATCACCTGAGATAAACTTTGGGTGAGGCTCAGTTGTATTTAAATGATCATCAGATTCGCAGATGCATTCAAGGACGCTAATACTGATTTTAAGAGCTTCAAATATGAATTTAAAACTAGCACATATTCATTTGAATGTTTACCTTAGACCTTACCTGGTCTACAATAATATTTCTACAAATATGATCATGTAAAAGAAGAAAAAATCCTGCTGAGGAAACAAAGAAGTTTTGGGGAAAAAAAAAAGAAAAACCCAAATGATAAAAATGGGCCCAAGAATCAACTGAAAATTTCCTCTGATTCATTATATATTCTTCCTTCATTCTGCTCAGCATCTTTGTGGCTATTAGAAACTCATTGTCTTTAATTTTTGTTTTAAGTCGCAAGATCCACACAATGAATTTCTCTACCACAATTTATTCTAAAAGTCTCATTCAGAAGAAAGGAAGCAAATGTACAATATTTTTAAATGAAGAAAGAATTTGGAAAGACAGTCTCCGACGCATGTGTATGTGAGGCGTGCGACTGTCATAGAAACAGCAATGAAGTGACGGATTCCAGTTTCCTTGGAAACAGCATGGCCAAAGCATATTGTGTATTCATAGTAAGATGCGGCTCTATTTAGAAACGTAAGTATGGTACTGAGTATAGTTTCCAGTAAGAAAATCAAGATAATTTGGCCTGTGGGAAGCCTGGCTGTATTCAGAGAGTGAGTTTTTCAAACCAGTTCTATTTACGTTTTGTTGAAAAGGAGGAAGCCATTTACATTCACTTTCCATGCCTTCATTCATTCTTCTACATTCATGGACATATTCTGGGCCAGTGTTATGCCTGTGGACACGAGCAATACTCTAAGAACTGCTGTGTTCTCCCTGAGGGGCAGACCCACTGTGGCAGCCAGGGCACAGGCAACCAGCAAGATTCCCTCAGGCTTGGATAATAAGCAAGTTTCATAATTTCTTTCTTTTAAATGAAATATATGAGCAAACCACACATTGGTAGAAACGCATTTCTGAGGATTTAATTGGACGAAAAAGGTGAAGGGATGCATTTAAAGAAATGTGTAGGAATTCCAGGGTTTTTCCATTAATCTGTTACTAATAATTGCAAGAAACACCACCTTTGTTAAAGGAAAGGTGGAATGCCATGTAACGGCAAAGTCAGGTGCAATCTGAAGGATGTAGCTATCGCCGATCTGGAGGGGGATGGTTTGTGATCCCCCGGAATGTGGCAGTCAGGTCACTTCCTAAGGTGGTAGGTTCTCCCTGGTCCTTTCCTTAGTTTCTGCAGGCACACTCAGGAAAGATCAGTAAAGATCTTTGAGAATGTCTGGATCCAGTTCTGGTCTTAACTTTGGTACTGCACTCTTATTTCAGCTCCTCCTCACTACGGACAATGGTATTGGAGACAACAGGAGAGAAGGTGTTGCCCAATCCACTCAGGATAGCATACTGAGTCAATAAACTTGTAACTTTACAGTCAAGGGAATGGTAAACTTGTAACTTTACAGTCAAGGGAATGATAAACTTGTAACTTTACAGTCAAGGGGACACTGAAATGCTTGAAAAAAAAAAAAAACCCAAACAAACAAGCTTCTCTATGTATCTATGTATCATTTGTAGGCCTCCACACCCTAGAGCACCATTGGGTCCTGGTCCACAGATTCCACTCTTTCTGTAAGGAAACAGAAGTGTGTGTTTCCTCCCAGCATCTGCACTGACATAGTTTTTATACAAAATGGTTATTTGCAGGAGAAAATATTTCTGATTACGATCGACACACCTGCACAACTCTTCAAAGGCCATACCTATACACCTGGTGGCTGACAACCCGCGTGGGCAGGTGAGGGAACAGACCCCGGGGATCTTACCCTGCTGCTTTCACTCTTGGAACGGTCATTCTTTGCCTTGGCTGTCTTTTCTGCAAGCTTCTTCTGCCTTTGAGGGCCTCTTCCAAAGAAAATGTAGTTGACGAAGGCATACTCCAGCAGGGCAAGGAACACAAAGACAAAGCAGCCCATAAGGTACATGTCAATGGCTTTGACGTAGGGGATTTTGGGCAAAGTCTCCCGAAGGTGCGTGTTGATGGTTGTCATTGTCAATACAGTCGTGATCCCTGGGAAAGAGAGGGACTGGTGAGTGGCAGCGGTTGTGTGGCCCTTGTCTTCCTTTGTAACACTCCTTTCAGATTTTCCCAAACAGCTTGAAGCACTCGAACCCGAGGGACTGAATGTTATTGGAGATTCGCAACATTACAGAGCATGCACGGTGCCACATGTGCAATATGTCATGTTGTCACATCAGAAGAGCAAGCTGGCACCTCTGCTCTGGGAAAGTGAAATTCTTGGGGACATGACTCCTTACTGCCAAAAAAAAGATGCAGAGGGCATTTGGGATGGAAGGAGAGAGATGCAGAGCGACAAAGAATAATGTTCTCTGTATGTAGAGCGGACAGAGTAAACACACATCCAGAAGTCAACAAGAACTACGTGAGTGTTGGGATGAGAAACCCCAGAGAGGAAGAATGAATTTGAAGCCCTCCAAGTCTGTGGAGGGAAGTCCAACATTAAGAGCTCGATTAGACCACTTCACAGGAGAAAGCAATTCCTTTTACAATGCTGATGGGAAGTCACAGAAATGAGGCAATGCCTTTTTGTTTCTCTTCTTTTTTTAATTATTAAGGATGATATCCAGCATTGACTTAAAAAGCAATAGTTGATTGGCCCAGTGCGGTAGCCTAGTGGCCGAGGTCCTTGTCTTGCACATACCAGGATCCCATATGGGTGCCGGTTCCAAAGACTGCAGCCCTGTTTCCCAGCCAGCTTTGTGCTTGTGGCCTGGAAAACAGTTGAAGACTGCCCAAGGTTTTGGGACCCTGCACCCATGTGGGAGACCTGGAAGAGGCTGCTGGCCCCTAGCTTCAGATTGGCTCAGCTCTAACCATTGCAGGCGCTTGGGGAGTGAATCAACAAATGGAAGCTCTTCCTTTCTTCCTCCTCTCTGTTTATCTGACTATCCAATATATTTTTTTTAAAGGAAGAGCTGAGCGAAGCTCTTGAAGGCAGAGAAACTCCGCACCTTGACTGATTCAGTGTGCACATAATCGACAAAAATCGCAAAAAAAGAGTTTAATTCGAGATTAATGATTTTTTTTTCATGTTGCAGAATTTCATCATACTCAGGGACGATTGATCAAACCCCTGTGTTGTTATTTTGCTGTTATTTCTTTTAATTCTGCATATAACATTTTGTGAAGATTTACATTGTTCCCCTACTGAAGCTCAGCCTTTACAACCATGACAGAATTATGTTTTCTGATTATCTTCCTTTCATAGCAAAATAAACAATTCTTTGTATACAAAAAAATCCAAATTGGGTATTCAGGGACAGCTGAGACCAGGAAACACACTGGTTAGTAACTTGGTAAGAGATTCTTGAACTGAGTTAAACCATATTTGCATGAAAAGGCATGGATCACACACTTCATTAACATAAATACCTTTTATTACTGGAATACCTTTAAAATAAGTACATAACTTTGCTGATCTTAAACAATAAGAATCTAATGAAAGGCAGAGACCACAAGGATTATGTTAATATGAAAATAGTTGCAGATAAGAAGTAGAATAGCTGAATAGAATCAGATCTAGATTTTGCTGGAGGTAACTAGAAAACTTACTCATTAATTCATTAAATTCCACCTAAAAGGAGATGCTACAACAACTTGTGTATTTTAAAGAGCTGTTGTCCTGTCTAGTTATATTTTTTTTCCCCTCCTCTCCTGACTGGTGGGGGCAGGGAGTTTGGTCAAGAGAGAAGGAACAAAAAGTTACAATGTTCTTGGGGAAAAAAACAGCAGCTGTGGGCAGAGTGGCTTCTCAGAGAAGGAGGAGGAGGACAGGAGAAGCCACAGTGACTGTTGGGGAAGGGGGAGACAGGGAGAGAGAGGGAGTGTAACCCTGAGGTTGCTGGGGGGAGGAGGAGATGTGGGTGAAGTCACAGGATACAGATCTGGTTGCCGCTGGCAAGTAAGTGCCAGTGAGTTCCTGAGTCAGGGGTGGTATTGTAGGGAGCGGGATGAGGGTGAAATGCAGTTGTGGAGAATTCCACAAGTTCAAGAGAAAGTGTGATCAGGCTTTGGGTCCGAGAAGTCCACAGTGAGGGGAAGGCTTGGCCTTCGCCAGCAGAACCTTGGACACAGAGCAGAAAGAGCAAAGTTTAGGGCAGGAGTGGAGGTCCCAGAGGGTCTGCCGTAAGACATACTGGACCACTTTCCACTGCAGTGATAGAAATTGTCCAATTTCGTGAGGATATTAAAATTAAAAGTGCTCTCCGCCGATCAGTTTGAATCATTGTCTGAGGAATTTGTGGCCTGAGTCTTGGCCTAGTCCCATGCCTTTGAAATTAGCCAACAGACATCCCACTGGGGTCTGGGGATTATAGGCCCAAAACTATGAGTTGCCCATTCTGTCCCGATTGCCCTGCGGCTAGTTTGGGCTTGAAGAAAGCATCCTTTACCTTGAGAGAGGTGAGCTAGAAAGGGAACCCAGTTCCCCAAGGAGGGCGGGCCAGTGAATGGATCATCTTCCTAGACACTGTCAGCACCCTAGCTAGGTGCCCAAACAAGTAAGTTGTCAGTGAATGTCTCCCTAGACACTACAAGCTCAAACGGAGTCTGACTTGCACGATTTCCACGGACCAAACAACACACAGTGAAGAGGACTTTCGGGACAGAAGGGGCTAGGCAGAGGGGCTTACCTGGCTCACGGCTGGCAAATGATATAGATGTGCAAATTCTAATTCTGAAATATTAAGAATTTACACACACAAAAAAAATCAAGGCAACTGAAAAGGTGAACATTTTCCTACTTGGGCAACTGAAGACACTGACTATGATTACAAATGCATTTTCCAAGGCCGACGGGACAACTGTTTTTTTTGGTTTTGTTTTTTTTTTTTTTCATGGTGTTATGTCAGATCTTCCAGCACATGGAGACTTTCATCGGGGGAGAGCTCAGCAGTAGATTTTTATCCCTAGTAATCCAAGGAATGAATGGCACAACTGAGTCCAGGAAGCAGTGCAAGGCAGATCAGTTGGCACATTCAGGACATCAGGCTCTGGGGTCCTACGCATCTCCCTAGTGGGTAATTAGAACTTAGGTATTGTGGTTTAATTCTTTCTGGCTTCCCTTCTTATCGGCAGGCACACAGTCTCATGGTGAGTGTCCCACAGAGAGAGGACTTAAAGCCTGCAGAACCAGCTCATCATTGACGAGCCAGAGAGCAGGAAGACAGCCCAGCCTTTGACGCATACCCTCCTTCCACTGAGCTCTCAACTGCTCCAAGAACCAAGAAACTTACTTTTATGCGTCGCTGCACACCGTGATTGCTTATGGAATATACGGAATGTTAAGATGTCAGATCATTTTCAACATTCTTCTTTAACATCGTATTCATGTGCACCTGGGGACTTTCTCCAATTTGAAAATGGCAACACGATAATTGCAGTTTACAAATAAACATGAAAACATCAGGCAAATGCTACAAAATGGGGCTTTCTCACTATTATTCAAAAATCTTGTAATGTTGCTGCCATTACTTAGTTTTCCCCTTTAAAATGGATTTGGGGAGACTAACGGGGTTTGCTTCTCCAGCTGACTATTCTGGATGAATATGTCTAGCACAAGCTTCAGTGGAGGCTCCGGGAATTGAAACAGCAGGTACATCTTACAGCTGTTTAGCCTGCCTGGTCCATGAGGTCCTGGGGACATATGTGAGGACTGTGCATGCCGGCTTACCATACTGGAACACAGAGTCCCTTAGCAGTAAGATTGTTCAGTGAGGGCTTGCTATGGATTAGATATTGTTTGAGAAGTCCACTCAAAGGTCATGTGCTTAAAGCTTGGTGGTCAATGTGGTAATGTGAGAGATACTGGAAGCTTTAAGAGATGGACTTGACTAAGGATGCTGCACTGGAAAGACTGAATATAGTTCTTGTGGTACGACCCTTGTTTATTGCGAGAATCTTTTATATTATAGCAACAGTCCCTCTGTGCTCTCTGGCTTCCTGGCCTATCATGATGTGATCTCTTTCTCACATGCATTCCCATCATGCTGCTATCCACCATGGGAGAGACGAACCATGGAGGCCTTGACTGGAGCAAGGGAGACACCAGTACCACGCTACTGATACTACACAACAGTGAGAGAAACGTGTCTCATTTCTTTATATCTTACTTAGCCTCCAAAATCATTTTTACACCAATCACAGACAGATACAATGTTCTGGGCTTCCAGTTTGGGCTCACATGAGCTCTTAGTTTAAAAGCCAATACACCTATTAATTCCTTCTGTCATTTTAGTTCCTGTACAGAACACTAGGCACAACGGTGCATGTGCTGGCCTACAGCTTGGGACAGCTGAATCACATGGCCTATGGCAGAATTCCATCTCAGCCATGAGGAGCGCACAGCCATCTAGAGCTGTCAGGAACTCTACATGCAATAGCTAAAAAGCACTGATGATGTGCCAATTAATGGTAACTGGTATTGCTAACAATGATAATATCAAATATATTATAACCGTCTATATTTTATTAGCATTGCAAAAATATTTTCTCAATGACCTTCAGGTTTCCTGGTATTGTCTTAAACTTTTTTGTTCTTCAAGATGACACCATCCAACTTCAGTAGAGGAGATGAGCACAGAGTGGTATATTTCACTTTTTTTCATATATTCACCAGGCTACTATGTCTTTTTACTCACTGTTAGCTTCAACATATTTCTTAATTAGATTATGTCAATCAAATACTATACCATACTAAGAAGCTTCTGTAGAGCAAAGGAAAAAGTCAACGGGAGAAAAGTCCTATCCTAGCAAGAGAGGCAGAGAAAACATTGTACTTGCTGCCACATTCCTTCAGCTGGACATGCGTGGGACTGCTGTTGGTCCACACACCACAGTTCCTAGGGTCACAGTGGCCCTTTAGATCTCCAGGCCTCAGATTCACCTTACTCTAGTAATGTCCCCCCACTCTGGCTTCTCACACTTGCCTCGCAGAAGTTCAACATCAATCAGAGCTTAAAATTCCTCCACTCAAGCCAAGTCATGGAGGCAGGCTTAGGCTTAAAATAATAAACCTGTATGCTTAAGACAAAATAGATTCTGCTCTCAAACACTGCAAATTAAACACTGCTTGAACAAAATTCACTCTCGCTAGATCATTTCTTGTGGTTGAAAATAACACTCCAGAGTTTAAAAGGCATATAATAGCTATTAGTTGGAAAATCTGGATATTCACATTTTCAGTAGAGCTCATCCCTGTGGATGTCAGACAACTGTGTGTGGTACATATATCACTGTAATTATCGCAATAACAATCCCTGTTGAAGATTTACTGGAAAGCTCATGTAGCTTTGGCTCCAGGTCTCCACTTGCACGGGCCCAGAAGTCATTCCAATAAATGTCTATTTGTATAGTTTGTATTCCTTTCATTAGTAGAGGACACAGATCTACAATTTTCAGATCTACTCTTTCCAATTCACCATGTGTGTGCATTTTACAGGTAAAAGGAAGAGAGAACAGATTAAGAGTAATCTAAGAAGGTTTGACAAAAAGAAACATCTTCATGAAGACTGGTTTGGCATGGTAACATCTGGAGTATGTGGAGAGAACCTACAGATTTTATTCTGTAGAGAATGTTGCTTGCCATACCCATTAGAAATTCAAAACAATAGAGCATGCTTAGCTTTGCCATTCTATTCTTCACAGAGTTCTTTTGAAGTCACTTAATGCCTTCAGAAACACCTTCTTTCCAAGTCAGTCATATATATTTCCTGATAATCTAATCTAGAGGACTGCTCTATAACACATATGTTTGTGTGCTTATGTCAGATATTCACATAGGCATCTGTATACTAGTACTGTAATCTTAAAAAAAAAAAAAACAGTCAAGTTAAAGACCCGAGAGAGTTGAGACACAGAAAGAGAAAGAAATTAGGAATTAGCTGGAACTCTGAATTCTTTTTTTTATAAAAACAGGTATTATCTATTTAATAAATAAAATATATACATATAATGCTTTTAAAAAGCTACATTTTATACAAATATTTACAAAATGAACAGTGCAATTAAAGATCATCTATACAATGCATCTACGTGTGTGTGTGTATATGGAATATATATGTACGTGTGTGTATATATATATATCATAAATGAGTTCCATCATCACAGTCTGTGGATTCCTGAATTCATATGCTTGCCGAGAAGTTAGTTATTAGCAAAATGCATTTATGATTATTTTCCATTAATTTTAAAAAAATATTGGCGATCTCATTTTCAGGAGTTAAACTCCATCTTGACCCAAGAAAAAATGCAGCAAAAATTCCTCATTGGCTCTGCAATTCTGAAATGATTATTTTAACCATAAATTTTCATAACAATTAGCTTAGTACAATATAAAGTTTCTGGAAATTACTCTGTTAGTAAACAAAAATATTAAATATTAGAACCTATAATATCAGTGCACATGAGTTAATAATCCAGCCACCAAATAACCAAAGGCTAGGAAAGACCACTAGGGCTCTTGGGAATCACCCAGAATCTAATTGCATATTTTAATGCTCATTAAATTGTGTAATTCAAATTATATGCTGTTATATTTGACTATTTCCCTGACTTAAAAAAGAAAAATACACAATTAATCAAGTCTTCTTTCTGGGCCATGGAATAATTTTGAAGAGGAGATGTTAATCCTTGCTTTAAAATTAGTGTCAAAATAGTTTTACTATGCAAATATTCTGCAAGCATATTTTCCCTTTCAAGGCCATGGAAATTCACATTTGAGCCTTGTAATTAAATTAACACATCAAGGGAATCGTGCATGAAATTAATATTTCATGATAAGCAGTGACTATCTGGGTAAGGCCTCGTGTCAGCATGTCAAAAATCAGAGTTGAACTACAGCCTTAAAACTCCCTCAACACTGTCATAATATGGTTACTTTACATTTGGGGGATCACTCAAAAATAGCACATACCGAGGGCAACTCTAGCAGCAGATGCATCATAATTGATCCAGAAGGATACCCACGAGAGAATCGTAATCAGTATAGAGGGCATGTAAGTCTGAAGAATGAAATATCCAATATTCCTCTTCAACCGAAAACTCAGTGAGAGTCGTGGATAGGCACCTAGGATAAACAAGACAATGACATTACACTGGACTAAACAAGGCAGACAAAAAGATATTGCTTGGATTTCCATGGCTGATAGCATTCCCCTGAAGTTCAGGGATCAAGCCATAGTTCATTTCATGTTCATTTCAGCACCTGTTAGGAAAACTCCAGAGGAAGATTTTAGCTGAGAATACATGATAATCCCAAATACGTCTTTCATATTTCTTTCTGCCCCATTTAGCAGTGAAGGCTTACCCAAGGTTTCTCTTCTTTAAAATATTTTTGAAAATTGTATTCATACTGACAGAATAGGTTTCACATATTTTATTAAGTGCAGTTCTAAGAAGATAACCATGCTGATAAAAATGATCTGTACCAGACATTCCCTCAAGCCAGAGCAATGTTGTCACAGGTATTGGAAGCACTGACCCTACGATGTCTGAGACCTTTCACAGGCACCCCAACTGGAGAGACACACAAGCAAGTCCAGCCACAGGAAACAGTACTGTGTAGTACTGTGCACTGAGATGCTCCGGTCTAGCCACAGGTGGGATCGGGTAAGGGGGAGCACAAAAAAGATGCTTCATGAAGCCCTTGCCCGTTGTTTTAATGAATCCCACTGTTAATCCTCAGCCCTGCATGTCTCACTTGGCACATCCTGGAATTCTGCAATCATCACCATCTCAGATGAAAAAACAGCCCTTTGGTGGCACTACATATAGTGTTTGCCTCTTGCTGTGTTACTTCATTTTATGGCTGTTTTAAGGAATAAGGCAAATGTGGCCAGCATTTCCTCCATCTCTACCAACAGAGCATTTCTCGGGTTTCAATCCTCCCAGTTCCTTATCTTCTAGAGTCCAGCAAAGCGGCTTGAAAGGCAACTTCTGATCACCCAATGCCCTTCTCTAGGCAACAATTTTCTTGACTCATCCCCTCCAGCCTCACAGACATATTGGTTCTCCCCTCACCTTAGAATTCTTGCATCGTATACTTCATGAGACCTGACCTTTTCTGATCTCCTTCATTCCAAGACTTATGGTCTCCTATTCTCTGCCTGCCTCCCAAATGCATTGTGCAGATATATTAATCCTTGTTCCTTTCTCTGAATATTCTTTTAATCTTTTCTTTAGAAGTCTGATTCACTAATAGAATTATTACCCCTATAAAGGAAATGCATGCTTTTATACGCAGATGGCTACCTCCAGCATTAATGGCACTTACAGCCAGAATTATGTAAGAGATAAGATAAATCACCTAATGGACCCAACATTTTCAGGTTGACAATCTGGGAAATGTCCTGCAGTCTTTGCTGTTGCTCTGTGTGGTTCCCTGTTCAAATATATATCATACTGTCATCATAGCACGGCTCTTTTCATAGTTGTCACAAATTATTTGTAAATACATTTTTAAATTACATTTGATTTTCCATTCTATACATATGTTGGATGCTTTAGTTTTAGATTATTTCTACTTTGGAAAAAACCTGCAAATAGTATCCATGAGGATATCTTTCAGGAGAGCCCCATTACTATATTTATTCTTATGAGACGGATGAACATGTCCAAAGTAGAATGGCTGGGACAATGTTTAAGGCCTTTGCATGCATTGTCACATTAATTTGCAAAAGAATCACACAAATATGTTCCATTGCAAGGAGTACTTCCTAAAAATGCTAATTGTTACCTAGCAAACATGACAACACCATATAATATCTCTTACGAATAAACTTTGGTAATTCTGGCATGAACATATATTCTTAAATCATTTTTCAAATGAAATATTTCCTACTTATTACTTTTCTGTGTTTAATTTTATGAATTACCTGATTATAATATTAATATCTTCCTCACTTTTCTACCCTTTTAATTCGTCCACCTTTCCACTAAAGTCCTTCATGTACTGAATTCTTGTCTGTACTGTCAACAAGCTCCTTTCCAGTTACTTGTTTTATGACTCGTAACTGAGTGAGAATAGGGGGCATATTGATAAGATGCTCATGTACAATAAATCTGCACATTTCATCATTTTCCCTTTGATTTTTAATGTTTTTGGGGGGAGCTACTATACATAAGTCAGCTACAGAGATATATTCGCAAACCTGTTTTCAAAGCTGGCAATTATTTGAACATATGAAATGAAGTGAAAATGTAGACTGATTTTTATTGAAAAACCAGTGAAGTTCATGTGCCAGAACCATCAAGAGACTATGGCTTTCTTTCACACACATTCAGTTACACATCTATTGTTTCATAAGATATTACATGTAACATGGATTTGATCAAGCTGGGTTTCATTCCTAGTCCTGCCTCTACTCCCATCTACCCAGTCTGGAAGCAAAACACTGAAACTGATGCTGCCCCATACTCAGAATCTTTTATGATTCATGGCCTCCAGCAAATGGAAAAATAACTCATGTGGGAATTCTACTGTCTCCCTGCTTTATCAAATACGTTTCATTTTCCACTATATTTCAGCACTAGCATCAAGTTTACTAGCGAAAGGGACTCTCACTGCTTCAAAATAATTGTTCATACATCCTGCTTTTGTTAATTCATATCCCTTGTTCTTATGAAAGAAATATCTTCCCTTATCCATACTTCTTAGCTCTGGGCAAATGCCCAGTGACCATGAATCTTTTATTTTTCCTTCCTCCGATGTAAACAACCACCTTCTTTGATTATTTTCTTTCTCATTAAGGTGTAACTGTTAACAATTTCCAATAATATCTTTATTGGAAGTGAAGCAGTCCGGTCACTGAGGGCATCACCCTTACAAGAGGTTTCTGTTCCGATAAAAGAAAGCAAACTTGACCCCTGACCCCTGACCCCTGACTCTCTCTGGTTTCCTTTCTTACCATGTGATCTCTTCTTCACTCACTCATCATTCTCCCATCTACCAAGAGGCCCTTAACAGAGACTAGTCAGTTTCCAGAATTTTGCACTTTTTGCCTCCAAAACTTTGAGATAAAGAAATCTTTTTTTTTTTTTCCTTTTGGCTGTGAAGTGCTAAGGCTCCAACATTTTGTTCTAGTGACTACAGGAAATGAAACAAATCCGCCATATTCTATAATTGATCATGTTCTTTCTAAAATACATCTTCAGATCAACTGTCCCAAGTGAAGGCAGTATTGACACCCTCACAATGATGTGTGCCTCATCGTCTGCTGGAATTCTTGCCCCTGCAACGTGGTGGTAGTACCAGGGTGGGAGTGTTGGGGTGGGGTGGCAAATACCAAGAAGAATGACACAACTGGGAAATTCCACACTTGGAAGACCACCAGAGACAAAGACAAAGATAATGCAGTCAGATTTCAAAAATCCATGAACCCCTGGAAATTCACCAAGATATTAACTGACACAGAGTTAAGAATTTTAAAAACAAAAAAACAATTTGTATGTATTTTCAATAGCAAATGTATTTCATTTGTTAAAAGTGAAATGCCAGCTCAACAAAATTTTTAGGCATCCAGCATGTGTCCCACCACATGAGAGCCTCCAAGGTGGAACGAAGTGAATGCAACAAACAAAAATGACTTAAGGTTCTAATTCATGCTGGAAAGGGAGTCATGCACAACTGTCCCTGGTGAAACAGTGGTTTGCTGCGCCCTGTAGACACAAAAATATTTCAGGAATCATAGGTTTCATGCTATGTGAAATGAGATACTCCTAGGTGAACAAATTTCTTTTGGCAAGAGAAAAGAGTGCTTAAAGGTAAAGCATCCAACATAACCTAAGGAAGAAAACCTCTCCAGGTGCCATACGATAGGAACTTCAGACTTCTAGATTTCTAGGCAAAGACTTGTATCATTTGAAATGCATACAAAAGAGTATATAAAATTTTTTTCTGGAGTTTTGTTAGACAAAGTCCTTATATTGGCAAGATGGAATGCCATATAAATGCACTATTCATAAGTAAAGCTCTCGCATGATCATAGATAGTGGCTAATAATTTAAAGTTAAGAATTGATAAATCAGTTGAATTAACATGTACCCTTCAAATCAGTATCAGAGGCTTTAAAATTGCAACAGAAATGCACAGAGTTCTAATTCCGTGTGTGCCAGTGCAGATGTGGTCCGATCCCCACGTACAGGCTGAGCTAACAAAAAGTCGCACAGTCCCTGAATACAAGTGCAGCGTTCCAAGTCGGAGCTTCTTTGGCAAACCTAGTTAGTGAACATGCTGATCTCAACCCTTTTTCCCTGGATGCATTAAAAGCTATGCCAAAAACAAGGCCCTGCATTTCTAATCCAGCCTAAATTTATATCACTCTCTAGGCATTAATATTTTTGGAGAACTCATTAAAAATGTGGATAGAAAGCTTCATGCCAGCTTTGCAGAGTGAGAAGCACTCCAATGTATCTAAGCATCATAAAGTAGCAAACTGATGGGTTAGCAACCTCCGCAAAGCCGTGTCACCCTCGCCACAGCGGGCTGTCCCGCAGGCTGTCCCACCGTTGCCTGAAAGAACACCACTTACTGCTGCTTCTGAATTCCCTATCATGATATCTTATTCATTTGTGACACGCCTTCTGTTGATCACACAGCTTCCAACCAGAAACAGTGCTACCAATTTTCTCATCCTCCTTATTGGTCATTTCCTTATACATTGAAAATTAAAAAAAAAAAAAAAACCTCATTGAGAATAAAGGGGATATATGAAATAAATGAGTAGAGAGAAAATACAAAAAGCAGACAATGGTTTGCTTCTGACAGCTACAGTAAAATAACAGTGTTGTGCTGTATGGGAATAAAAAGGACATGTATATGTGTGAGCAATCCAACCTCAACAGTTTGCTATGTTATTTTTGAGAAACTGACTACTCTCTCAAACCTGCTGTTTCCTTAAGTGTACAAAGAAAAGGAATGCAATGAGTAAAAAAAGAAAAATTAGCAAATTATAACTGATCACATTTTAGAAGTGTTACACTGAAATTAAGACAATCCACAGAATTGAATATGTGCAAATTTTATGTCCAGTTAGAAATTTGTATCTAAAACGGATAAATGATATCTGC